AAAAAAAAAAAAAAAAAAAAAAAAAAAAAAAACCAAAACCAAAAAATAGGAGTCTGAAACATAAAACGATAACTCATACTCCATACTCTTTGGCTTTCCTTTTTTAATACCTAGGATCTTATTTATTTCTCTCTCCTTGCTAGGGCACAATAGCCAATGCCAAGTCACAAGAAGAAAGGCAGGGCAACATGGCAAAGGAAAAACAGTTCATAGTATGTATGCAAGGGACAGCTGAGTAGTGAGTGTGCCTTCCCTTTGTTCCATTCAGGCTACAAGCCTATTGGTTGATGCCATCCACATCCAGGATGGGCCTTTCATTATCCACACCCAGAACTAGTAAATCAATCAGTGGACTAATCAAGTTATCACACATCCATGATCCAACCACCTGTAAAAGCCTCACACCTATGAGCACATGGGATTTTGGAGAGACAGCTAAATGCCATATAACACCTAGTAATAAAACATTAAATTCATATTTTCTATATTCCTAGACACATAAGTGAATTAATTACTTTTCTACTCTTTCATGTTTTGCTATTAAATAAATGCTGAGTTTTTGCTTTAAATTTGTTGTGGGTCTACTAAGGCATACTAGAGCCAATGGTATACTGCAATCAACATATCAGGACAATATAAAACCTAAATACCTACAAATTTAAATTTATGTTGCTGTTAATAAAAATATAACAAATTATTCTATAACATCATACAACCAAATTATGCCCTTGGAAAGTATTTACATATTGTTGCATATCTTATACAATATATACCGTCAATGAATAAAAAGCAACAGAAAAACCTGAAAAAGGTTTCTACTTTTCAGATTTACTATCTACTTCATAGTGCACCAACATTAGAAATAACATTCTACAAATGCTACATGGTCTTTAATAAAAACAATATATAAACAAAAGTTAAGAGTTTTTGTTGCAAAAATAATACTACAGAATATAATTAGAAACAAAAATATAAAAGAGGAGATAACACCATGTCTTCACTTGGAGACATGCACCATTCCGCAAAAGTTTTCTATTTCTTTCTAATTTATACACACTTTACTAAATGCCTCTAGCTTAACATATAACTGCCAAAATGAGTCATATCTAAGTATATTTTAAAATATTTACCTTTACAGTAGCTAAAAACCTGTCCAAAAGACTGCTAGCCAAAGCAAATGTTTCTGGGTATAGGTTGAACTGGTACTTGAGTTTGGCTAGCCACTGAATTACTTCATCTCTCTGGGATGGAGAAACACTCTACAGAGGAATAATTACAAAAGAAAGTTAAAAGAAATGACAAAAGTTTTAGTTATCACCAAGAGTATATTTCGAATTCTCTTTCATAAAGGTCAACAAACATAGAAAATGCATTTAGATGTTAAAATGTCAAGGTTATTCAAAACCATACTTTAGATGAAGATAAAATTTCCATGGCTGTTATTGTATTTATTATCAGTATCCAATATTTGTTTACTCTACTAAAATTTTCACTATGTCACTTCACCAAATATCTACAGTGTGAATTGAGAGGCTCAGGAAACTTTGAGAGTACTTGAGGTCAAACCAAGGAAAGGCTTCCCTTATGCTAAGTAAATGCTCTATCACCAAGTTACATCTCTAGCCCAGGGATACAACATTTTAAAATTTAGGTAAGTTATTATCAACTGATAATATAATTATTTTCCCAACTCTTGAGACTAAGAATTATCTAAGGCATCAAATAGTGATTAACTCAGGGCAGTAAATAGAAATGGACCATGATAACAGAATAACAGCCATTAGCATGAAAAAAAATCATTATTAATAAATGAAAAATACCAGAAACAGAAAAACCACAGTTAAAGAAAGCTACAGAAGTAATGACTTGAGCTAGATTACTACTTCCAAAGACTGCCATAAACAAGAAGCAATTTGGTTTAATCTTCTTGCATTTTATTTATTAAAAGGATGCTCTGGCTGGCCTCAAACTCCTGGGTTCAAGAGATCCTTATGCCTCAACCTGAATGTGCCACTGCATCCGGCTGTTTTTGTTCTTTTGCCTTCACACTGAATGACATCACTAGCCTTTCTGTACTACAGTACACACCAACATACCCAGCTTGCTTGCTTGCTCTCTCGCTTGTGTTCACATGCTCTCTTGCTTGCACTCATGTGCTTGTGTTCTCTCTATGTATATGTATGTACGTATGTACGTATGTATGTATGTATAACGGACTTGGCTGTTATAGCATCTCATTATGCAGCTCGGACTCCCAGTAATCCTCCTGCTTTCAGCCAGCGCAGCGCTGGGATTACAGGCTTACGTCACTATGCCCTGCCCCTCGTGGAGCAGGGCTGGCACAGCATGTGGTGCCTGCTGACCTAAGCAGGCACTTTACTCTGCTGAGCTATCTCGCCAGCCCCCTATTATTTTTATTTATTTATTTTTATTATTTTTAATTATTAGCATTTTTTTGTTGAATGAAATTCTGTATCTTTTTTTTTTTTACTGTTTTTTTGTATTCTCTAAAAAAAAAGAGTACTTTTAAAAGGTATATGTTTAAAAGCAAAAATGATTTAGATTCCTTTACTCTAGGGTTTCAGTTACTACTAACAACAACTAGAAATTACTAATGTTTAATGAAAGATCCTTGCCAATACTACTACTGCTGATAAACACACAACAAAGTATAAAAATGATAGTACTTCTGCAATGAGTTGGAAAGGGTGTTGTAAACAAGGGAGGATTCCAGACAAGTGAAAGTAACCCACTGTAACTTTAAAAAAAAAAAAAAAAATCTTTCTTCTCCTTTTCCTTAGAAAGTATAGTAACCATACCTTAAACCTTTCTTGGGATAACTTGTGTGTGTGTGTGTGTGTGTGTGTGTGTGTGAGAGAGAGACAGAGAGAGAGAGAGAGAGAGAGAGAGAGAGAGAGAGAGAGAGAGAGAGAGAGAGA